AGGAGGATGGAGAACTCAGCTCTGTCAGTGAGACCTCTCAGCCTTAAATCCACCTGCTTGGCCCGCCTCATGTCCTGACCCTTCATGCCCTAGGGTAACCTCCATAGTGAAGCACTTAATGTCAAACCACTTGCTAACAAACGTACCTAAGGCCTGGCTTGAGATGAAACATCCCAAGCTGCCTTCCCAAGAGGGTTTGTGCTTATTGGAGTGGAAAAAAGGAGTAGAGAAACTTCCAAGAATGAAGGATGCCTGGGATGGGGCAATCTCTCAGAGGGTGCTGATGGGTTTGGCTGTCAGTCAGGTTTGGGAGAAACTTCAGAGTGGAATCTCTGTTCCCAGGGCCAGCATCTCGCTCTGTGGAACGCCTCAAGGAGATGATCAAAGCTGGGATGAACATTGCACGACTCAACTTCTCCCATGGCTCCCATGAGGTGTGGGGACGTCCTTGAGGGCGGGGCTGAAGGATGCCCCAGGTCCTGCCCACTTTCCCTTTAAACTTTCGCTCTCACGCCTAGTACCATGCGGAATCCATCGCCAACATCAGAGAGGCAGCTGAGAGCTTTGCAACCTCCCCACTCAGCTACAGGCCTGTGGCCATTGCCCTGGACACCAAGGGACCAGAGATACGCACCGGGATCCTGCAGGGGGTGAGAAGCCTGTGGGTCAGCGTTGTCTGGGGCGGAAGGAGTGTTAGAGCACTGGGGCGGGAGAGAGGGTCAGCGCTGGCCCTACCCTCCAAGGGACCCACCTGCAAAACTCCTGTCTCTGGCCCCGCCCCCAGGGCCCAGAGTCGGAGGTGGAGATTGTGAAGGGCTCACAGGTGCTGGTGACTGTGGACCCCGAGTTCCGGACACGGGGCGACGCAAACACAGTGTGGGTGGACTACCCCAATATCGCCCGGGTCCTTGCAGTGGGGAGCCGCATCTACATCGACGACGGGCTCATCTCTTTAGTGGTGCGGAAAATCGGTGCGGAAGTGCCTCCTACTCAGATTGACGCCCTAACACGGGCACCTTCTCTTCTCTTTGGTCTGCTCTAGAACACCCATGCCTTCCCCTGGCTGTGCCTACTTCCCCCACCTATCCTAGCGGTCCCCGCCATCATCACTGTTTGGAGCTGGGCATTTGATATTTCTTCTTGATGTGTGTGGAGGGGTGAAGGGCTCAGAAGTCTCTGGTTCCTTGGGGCTCCAAGCTTAGCATTTCCTCTACCGCGCCTATAGCGCAGTGTCAGCCTTGACAGACGCTGACTCTGTCTATACCTGCAGGCCCAGAGGGGCTGGTGACCGAAGTGGAGCACGGTGGTGTCCTGGGCAGCAGGAAGGGTGTGAATTTGCCAAACGCTGAGGTGGACCTTCCTGGGCTGTCTGAGCAAGATCTCTTGGATCTGCGCTTCGGGGTGGAGCATAACGTGGACATCATCTTTGCCTCCTTTGTACGAAAAGCCAGCGATGTGGCTGCGGTCCGGGATGCCCTGGGGCCGGAAGGAAGGGGCATCAAAATTATCAGCAAAATCGAGAACCATGAAGGCGTGAAGAAGTGAGGCTGGGTCTTTGTTTCTATCCGCCCTCTGTTTCCCCTTGTTTCCTCTTCTGCATGCCACTCCCCGGCACCTCCTGGCTCTGCTCTAGCCTGGATTCCTCCAACCTCCCAGGTTTGATGAAATTCTAGAGGTGAGCGATGGCATTATGGTGGCACGGGGTGACCTGGGCATTGAGATCCCAGCGGAGAAGGTTTTCTTGGCTCAGAAGATGATGATTGGGCGCTGCAACCTGGCCGGCAAGCCAGTCGTTTGTGCCACACAGGTATGGAGTGAACCCTTGGGCTGTACTTTGAAGGTGCTGAGCAACCTCGGATCTTCATTCTGCTGTCTAGTGTCTGGTCACAGTGATGAAGTTAGATAGAGATGGCATGAACTTTGCAGGGTCTCACTGTGATCCTGGCATTCTAGGAGGAGGGAGGTGTCACAGAAACAGCGTGGGCAGGGTCCCCAATCAGAATGCAACTTCTACAACTTTGACATCCATGGTGTCACCCAGATGTTGGAGAGCATGGTCACTAAAGCGCGACCAACTCGGGCAGAGACAAGCGATGTGGCCAATGCTGTGCTGGATGGGGCCGACTGTATCATGCTGTCTGGAGAGACCGCCAAGGGCAGCTTCCCTGTGGAGGCTGTAAAGATGCAACATGCGGTAGGAACTCAGTCCTGAAAAGGGGATGGACCAGGGACTCAGACCCCTCTGGAACCGCATTGACCCTACTCAACCTGATTTACTGGTGCCTGCAGATTGCTCGAGAGGCAGAAGCCGCTGTGTACCACCGCCAGTTGTTTGAGGAGCTACGACGGGCAGCGCCACTGAGCCGTGACCCCACTGAGGTCACCGCTATTGGAGCTGTGGAGGCTTCCTTCAAGTGCTGTGCGGCGGCCATCATTGTGCTAACCACAACTGGCCGGTGAGAAGCATAGTGGAAACAGGCTTTTGATCACGGAGTGGCTGACACAGTGTGTGATGAAAAGTATTGCTTTGGGGCAAAAAGGAGATAGCACAGAATTCTGGAGACCAGGAAAAGCAGTTCTTGGGTGCTCCAGTGGATCCAGTGAGCTCCAGGGACTCAGCGGGTGATGATCCAAGCACATGGGCTTCAGGGCATTTGGGCCCCTGGGGCTGAGGGGGCTTCACGGTGCCCAGGTGTTGCTGAAGAGCCTGGTAAACCCGAGGATTTTCTCTCAAACTTAGCAGTGAGACCCTAAGTAACTCATTCGGGCCCCACAAGTCATCTGTCTACCTGGGTCTATGTGAGTTTGCCGTTTGTTCCCCCATGGGGTGTGAGGATTAACAAGTGACATTAAGTGCCATATGGAGGGTGGATATGATATAAATATACATATTCTAGACAGTTTTACCCTCTTTTGTTGTTTGTTTGGTAGGATTTTTCTGAAATAGGGCCTCATTAGTCCCGGCTAGTCTGAAACTTACTTAGCTAAAGTAGCCCTGAACTTATCCATCTCCAAGAGCTGGGATTATAGGCATGTGCCACCATGTCTTGCTGTCTGGTTTTACATTTCTAATTTTTTTTAAAGATTTTTAAATTTGTTTTTAATTATATGTATGCATGTGGGGCGGGTTGTGTGCATTTGTGTACAGTACATAAGTCTGGAGAGTTCAATCTCCTGAAGCTAAAGTTGCAGGCATTTGTAACTACTTGAGGTGGATGCTGGGAACCAGCTCCAGTCCTCTGGAAGAACTGTAAGTACTCTTACAGACTGAGCCATCTCTCTAGACTGGGCTTTACATTTATTTTACTTTTTAAGAATATTAATGGACATTTTGCCTGCATGTATGTCTGCACTATTTGCATGTCTGGTGCAAGTGGAGGCTAGAACAGGGCATCAGAGCCCCTGGAAATGGTCTAACAAACAATTGTTAATCACCATACGGATGTTGCAAACTGAACCCGGGTCCTCTTCAAAAGTAGCAAGTGCTTTTAAAGGCTGAGCCATCTCTCCAGCCATGGTAGGCACTCAATACTTAGTGAGAATGCCAAAGGCTAGAGAAGTATAACTCACCCAGGGCAACATGGCTTATTAGCGATTCCTGGAACCATAATTCACACTCTGATGTTCTAACCTTCTAACTTTCTCCCCCTCATCCAGCTCAGCTCAGCTTCTATCTCGGTACCGACCTCGGGCGGTTGTCATCGCTGTGACTCGTTCTGCCCAGGCTGCCAGGCAGGTCCACCTGTCCCGAGGAGTCTTCCCCTTGCTCTACCATGAGCCGCCAGAGGCCATCTGGGCAGATGATGTGGATCGAAGGGTTCAGTTCGGCATTGAAAGTGGTGAGCCTTGGAGATCTTATTCTTCGGCCCCCCAGCCTGGCTTCTCACCCTGACTCAAAGGCTGTGCCTGTCCTCACTGGTCCAAGATATTCCCTAGGAATCACTAAGATGGACAAGTGTCTTGGACTCTAAGCAGGGAGGTTGAGCCGAGGGGAAGGGAGGGAGGGCAGAAGTGTCCCTAAGAAGTCTGCTGCTGTCTGCAACATGGTGGGACATAGGAGCAAGAGGTGGGACTAAACTTTCATTTATAGTCATCATGTCCACACCTGCCCTTGTCCCGTTACTGTAACCACACGGAGCAAAGGGTTAATGCTTAGAAACAGCACTTTGCATCCCTCTGCACCCTTCATACCACCAGTTCAGGCTCCTCTCTTACAGGGTAGCCTTGAAGTGGGTGCATGGTGATGGCTGACCTAGGTTCTTCATTGACTGTCACCTCTCTCTCCCCCAGGAAAGCTCCGTGGCTTCCTCCGTGTTGGTGACCTGGTGATTGTGGTGACAGGCTGGCGACCTGGTTCTGGCTATACCAACATTATGCGGGTGCTGAGCATAGCCTGAAATGCCTCTCCCCGTTCTGACCTAGTTGCACCCCATTTCTTTCAACCAGCACCCGTCCCGCCCTCCACATCTGCCATCTAGCCTCATCCCTGTGCCTCACGCAGGCCCTGAATGTCTGTCCAGTTATGCCCCGGCCACACAGAAGCATCAGTTGTACATCCCTGTCTCAATCCGATCAGCTGGATTCTAAGACGCCCTGAGCCTTTAATCCCAGCCCAGCTGGTTAATTCTATTCCTCTGGGTTCCCTGTCATTAGAATGGGGGAGTTGGAAACAGAGTGATCTCGTCCAATTTCCATAGTGCCACTATTTTAAAACATTTCTGTCCTCTAATGTGACCCTCATGACCATTCCCTGAGCAAAGTGTCATCTCCTGATGGCCTCAAGTCAGGGCAGAATACTCCTTCATGGAGCAGTGGAAGCCACACTTTAGGGGAGGCTGGGGTAGACGTGTACTGGGGAAAACTGAGCCAGGCTGCCTGCCCTCCCCGGCAGATAAGGTCTCACTTTGTAACTCAGCCTGGACTCAAACTCATAGAACCCCCCACCCCCGTCTGACCATCCCAAAGTGTAGAGATTACAGGCATGAACCACCACACTGGACTTCAGGCAGCCTTATTTTCTTACTGACTACAACCTTGGAATTTACAAACCACTAATCTGACAGTTCTCATGTCCACGGCTCTGCTGGACCAGATGATCTAGAAATTCTTCCACAGCTACATTTCCCTCCCCCACAGATCAGAAGAAAAAAATTTAACCCTAATTGTATAGATGCAGTTCTAAAAACAACTTCCACAGGTAGGAATCCCAGAATCCCCCAACCAGGGAGAAAAGGAGATGTGTGGTCCCGCCCCCACACTTCAACGCCATAGTGTAGGGAAAGGTGGGCAGAGGGTGCTCTTGTCCCTGAGGAATCCGGCGTGCTGCTGGTTTGGAGACCCCAGGCATGCCTCTTCTGAACCAACAGCAAGCCCGATTGAGGGGACCAAAAATAAGTGCAGCCCTCCCATCAACCTGTCACCCCCTCTCCACTACCTCAATACGGAGAGTTTGAGTCTTGCTGCTGATGGCATTGTGTGAGGACCACAAAGATGTCCTCCTGTCCCTCAGCCTCCCTTCCAGGAGGTGGGGCGGACAGATAAAGGAATGAGTAACAGAATGAATAAGTCAAATTAGCAAATGAATAAATAAAATTAATAAATGACTGAATAAATAAGACAAAGAGGGAAAGATAAAAGGTCACATGAGGATTCAGCCCCTTGCCCCCCTCCAGGGGGGAGCTAGGCTGGCATAGTTAGTAAGAAGATGCCAAGTATCCCTTAGCTTTAAGGGCAGTACCACTGAGGCAGGGTGCACAGTGAAGAGCAGCGTCTAGTTACAAAGGCAGTGCTACCATACAGGAGCTGTGGAGGGCACACTACAGTGGGCAGACATGTGTTCTCCTCGGTGGACACGAGGAGGGCACAGGTGGTGGTAAGAGGGTGATGTTCACACTCAGGACCCTAGACATTTGTTGGTTGTAATAGATAATTGACAGTACCCAGCTTTGATGAAGGGGACAGGAAGATAAGACACTGGGAAGAACCTGCAGGGTCACTGACAGGGAAACAGCCATCTAGTTGGCAGTGATGATGGCAGCAGGTAAATTTGTGTTTAGTAAAGGCAGGGTTGTGGGCCCATGCCTGCACCTGGCAGGAGGGTGGCCTGGGGATACCTTTGTGAGAGGGCTTTGAGTCACTTCTACTTGGCAGTGGAGACACATGTACCTAGCACAATGCCTTAAACATGGTAGGCACTGGGTACCTATCACAAATGGGTATATGATTAGGATTAACAGGCTGCAGCTGCTTGAGCTGAGGATACAGAACAGCTTCATGGTAGTAAAGGGCAGTATTTTAGATCCTGACAGCCTTCCCCAAAGCGCTTTTACCCTCAGGCACACATTATTGCATGCCAATAGCTAAGGCCAGTGTAACCTAGGATTTCACATGTTGGCAGAAATTTGGGGACCTCTTGGGGTAACTGGCTCAGGCACTGATGGCCTGGGAGGCTGGACTGTCCCTGGAGGCTTGGCCAGGAGCGCAGAGGGGGGCAGGCGTTCACTTCCAGAGCCTTTGCGCCCAGGGGAGCCATCACCTGTTGCTCGCTGAGGCAGAGAAGGTTGAGAGGCAGAGAGTGGGCGGCCCCGAGGTCCTAGCCTCCTACCACCTCCTCCCGGGGGAGGGCCCAGCAGGGACACCTGGGAACGCCCTGCCCGGGATAGACTGGCATGAAGGGTTCGGGCAGGAGGAGCAGGTAGACGAGACGTCGATGCCCAGGGTCCTCGGGCCAGCAGAGGACCTGCTCGGACAGGCACCAGTGGGGAGGCTGGGGAGCCTGCTGAACGTCTAGCAGATCGTGCAAGGAGGGCCACCGGAGAGTCAGGGGAGAGGGGCAGAGGACCTCGCTGGTGAGTCAGGGCTATGGCCACGTTGGAGGTCACAGCAGCTGCCTGAAGAGGCGCATGCACCAGTGGTTCCCACAGCACTGGCTTTCCGCTGAGCCGAGCTCCTGTGCCAGGAGCCAGGCCCCTAATACCACGAGCCATGTCTCTGTCGTGTTGTACCAAATGCTGCTCCATGACGCCACCGCTGCTGCCTGGGCTCGGTTCAGAGCGTTTCCGCTGCAATATCGAATTCTTTTTGCCTACAAGTTGTTCCGGGACGAAGAAGTTAGGAAAGGAAAGGGATCTAAGATGGAGGTTTGCAAGCAGAGTGTGGGGAGTCTGAGGAGTCAGAAGTGGGGAATCAGAAACAGATAGAGAATGCTGGGCAGTAAGGGCTGGAAGGTGGCATCAATAAAAAAGCCGAGGTTAAGGACTGGTACACGGAGGACTTGGGGAATGAAGGTCGGAGAGATGTATCCATGGCTACGGCTTGCTAGAGGTGAGAAAACCTGCAGGAGGCATGCACTGGGACTAGTAGTGGGTTAGGACGTGGTGCCAAAGCACTAAAGCTGGGCTCCTTGCTATGGAAGTGAGGAGAGACCCAGCCCAGACCCAGAGCAGACAGAGTAAACAGGCCTCACCAATGCGGCGAAGCCGGTCCATGGCCACAGTCTCAAAAGCCCTGCGCATCATTGGGAACTCCTCAAGCACCGCATTGAAGTGGTCCACGCTGAGCGAGTAGAGGCGGCAATAGGTGTCGGCCCTTACGCTGGCGGTTCGCCGGCCTCGGGTCAGTAAGCAGATCTCTGCAAAAGTTAGGAAGACACTCAGGACCCCTGTCCCCAGAGCTCCCTCCCACTTGGCCTGCAGCAGCTAACCCAGCACTCTCAGATTGGTCCTTAGACTTGGGAGAAAGTAACGATTACCTGCTGTAAGGTCCCTAACTGCTCCAAGCACTGTCTCCAGACCTGCATATCTGGAAGGCTGCCCCCTGACTTTTTCATTCTCTCCAAATTAAGTCAGCAAACAGGTCTGCGAGCCCCAGATGCTCTCAGTTACTCTATTCTACATTAGCTCCGATCCCAGTCCTACTCTGTCCCAGGATGAACCCTACCCTCCTGCCCTGAGCAAAGACCTGGAGGAGAAAAGAGGCTAAATGGACACAAAGCACAACCAACAGGGTGCTTGAAGGCGGTGGCTGGCTAGGTGGTGCGCAGGTGGTAGGAGCCTCAAGACACTTTGGGTATCAGCTGGGCTTCCACTGCCACAGGCTGTGTTCCTGGAAGCTCCACAAAGCTTACGTCTGCCTCATTCCTAGCTTTCCCTCAATTCACACGATCCTTGCATTTTGTCAGTTAATAATCCTACAGGACCGTTGGCCCAGTAGCTTGCCATGCACTGGACTCCCCTGAGAAAAAATAAAATAAAATAAAAAAGCAACTGCCAGGTGAGGTGCTGCACACCTTTAATCCCAGCATTTGGGAAGCTGGGCAGGTGGACCTCTGAAAGTATGAGGCCAGTCTGGTCTACATATCAAGTTCCAGGACAGCTAGGGCTACATAACAGAGAGACCTGGCAATCAATCAATCAATCAATCAATCAATCAATCAAAATAGAGAGCCTCAGGCCCCAGCTCAGAGACTCACTGAGGTCTGGGGAAGGGCTGTTCCGTGATTCTGCAGCACAAACTGGTGGGCCCTGACCTTAGGGGCAACTGCTTGCTGCCCAATGCTCATGACCCCCCACCTTCCCCGAAGCCTGCTGACCCCCAAAGTAGGATCCATCAGTGAGGCGAGTGTCCCGGGCGCCCCGTGCCAGCACACTGAGCAGCCCATGCTGGATGAAGTACATCTTCCTGCCCACGGAGCCCTCACGCACCACCAGGTCCCCTGGCTGGAAGACCTCAAAGCGGAGCTTGGTGAGTACTGCGGTGACGAAGCTGGGGTCAGCATGAGCAAACAGCGGCATGTGGGCCACCAGGCCCCGGCAGGTGAAGTTAATAATCTCCTGGACACAGGAGGGGCCTGTCAGACAGGCTTTGCCCCCTGCTGGAAGATGCCCCCACAAAGCTAATCTGCCTCCAGAAACCCCATCCATCAGGTCAAGGCCTGCCAATGGATGGGGATGCTACAGTGGGTATGGGGACCTCCCTGAGAACCTGCCTTCAAAACCTTTCCACGATGGCACCCTGCAGTCCCTTTTCATATAGACTCCACTACCACAAGACCTTCCACAGAAAGCCATCTCCCCTCAAATACTTGTCCTCCCACAGGGCCATTTGTAGACCTCAGTCCGGAAGCCCAGATCCTTGAAGAGCCCTTCCCACAAGGTCCAGCCTGGCCCCACCTCCCGAAGTGGCTCGCTCAGCTCCCCCAGGATGCTCTCTTCATCAAACATCTTGCCCTGGTAGCGGTGCTCGTAGTACTCGTGGATTCGCTGCCGGGTGTCAGGCGGCAGCTTGTGGAAGGACATGTACTGCTCCACCTGCTTGTACTGAAGAGGCAGCGCCAGTCGCCAGCGGGAAGAGGATGTGGAGACATGGGGCCAAAACAATGGGGTGCCGGAGGGGGGGGGCGTTCAGAAAGTCACAGACACAAGTTTGACCCAGAGGTGATAAACACGGTATACACAGGTAAGGTATTCACAGAGCCGCGAAGACATATGGATGACGGTAGATCCAGGGAAGACACAGCAGGGGGTCCAAGGACAGAGGCACAGACACAGAACTGTTTCACATGGGAGTATGGGACAAACGGACACGAGGTAGGAAAGGACATGGGGCCCCACCAGGACACAATTATCTGTGCACTTCTCCACGCCCGACCCCTCCCCTCTCTCGTCCCTACTGACCTTTTCCTGGTACTGTCGCCGGGAAGAGTCCAGGGACTGGATGAGCGCAGTGGCGTGACCGATGAACATGGCATAGCACGTGGCACCCACAATCATACTGAGCATGGTGAGCCAGACGTCAGGCATGCCTACTGGTGCCTGCTGCCCATAGCCAATGCATAGCATGTGACTCATGGCCTTGAACAAGGCATGAGAATACTGGCGGCCCCACGAGTGGTTCTGGGGACAGAGTATGTTGCAGAACAGGGCGTAGGCCCCTTAGAGTGTCATTCTCCACCTGCCCCCTTTTCTCCCTCGCCTACCTCTTCTACTTCAGCCCTTCCTCTCAGCAGTCACTTGTTTAGTGTGTGGAGTTCCCAAAGCAAAAGGGGCTTCTTCTGTGCGTGGGGAAACCTTTGTTTTTGTCTAGGTTTCCTTCTCCACCACCTGTTCCTTCCAACATACAAACACTTCCTCTCTCTAGCTTTCTTGCCCTTCTCCTCCCCCTATCATCTTTCTGGATCATCCCCCACCTCCTGCTCCCTATGGCTACCCCTGTTGTTCAGGCAGAAGAGCCCTTAAGAGACCCAGGAGTACCAGAGCTGGGGGGACTTCTCACCACCATGCGGTTCATGGAGACCCAGCAGTCGGAAGGGAAGTCCTGTAGCATAGGGACCAGGAACTGCAGACAGCCATCCCAGTGACACAGCAGCAACATCATCCCAATGAGGTTGAAGATCCGAACCACCGCACTGGCCAGGTCATAGGTCATGTGAAAGATCTGAGAAGCCCAAGGAGGCACCGCTGTGTTTAGGAACCCCTCTTTGCTAGGCTCCTCCAGTGCCAGCCCCGAGGATCCCCCTTGAACCTTGTCTCCCTTTCCCAGTCTCTCTGAATTTAAAACAACAACAACAACAACAAAAAAAATGTAGCTATTAACTTGGCCTGGTTTCAAGTGCCTGTAATCCCCGCTACTAGAGAAACTACGGCAGGTGGACCAGAAGTTCAAGGCCAGCCTAGGTAACTTTTTTTCTTTCAAATTTTAAAAAAACTTTGAGCAAGGGATAGTGGTGATGGCACACACCTTTAATCCCAGCACTTGGGAGGTAGAAACAGGTGGATCCCTGAGTTCAAAGCCAGCCTGGTCTACAGAGGGAGTCCAGGACAGCCAGGGCTACATTGTCTCAAAAATAACAAAACAAAAAATGTTTATTTATATGGGTGTTTTGTCTAATTTTGGGGGGGGTGGTGGTTCAAGACAGGGTTTCTCTGTGGCTTTGGAGGCTGTCTTTGTATATTAGGCTGGTCTCGAACTCACAGAGATCTGTCTGCCTCTGCCTCCCAAGTGCTGGGATTAAAGGTCTGAGCTACCACCGCCTGGCCTGTTTTGTCTACTTACATGTCTGTGTATCATATGCATGCCTGGTGCCCTGGAAGGCCAGAGGGTGTGTGACCCCCTTGAATCAGAGTTACAGACAGTTGTGAGCCACCATGTAAGAGGACATCGAAATGAAAATGAACTTGGGTCCCCTGGAAAAACAGCCAATGCTCTTAACTGCTGAGCCATGTCTCCAGCCTCCAGCCTGGGGAACTTAGTAAGATCCTATCTCAAAATAAAAGTATGGACTGGAGAGATGACTCAACAGTTAAGAGCACTGGCTGCTCTTCCAGAGGACCTGGGTTTGATTCCCAACCCCCACATGGTGGCTCATAATTCCAGCCTAACTCCACAGGCACCAGGAACATATATAATACATATAAATAACATATGCATATAAATAACATAAATAATCCTAAGACAAATAAGTAAAAAGTAAAAGGGGATTGGGAATATGACCCAGTGGCAAAGCACTTGCCTAGCACAGGTGAGGCCCTAGGTCCAATCCCCAGTAAGGTTTGGCGGTATGGGGCCATTATTTATTTGTATAGGACCTTATAACACATGGTTGCTATTGTCATCTTTTCTGTAGAGAGACTGAAGCCAACTATGTGCCTAGAACTAATCAGTGTTGAGGCTGAGATCCAGAGACCTAGATTACACAAGCAGCCCAGGTGCTGCCTGGGAAAACAGGAAAGTGGCATTCACAGTCTTTTTTTTTTTGGGGGGGGGGGGTTGAGACAGGGTTTCTGTATTGCTTTGGAGGCTGTCCTGGCACTCGCTCTGTAGACCAGGCTGGTCTCAAACTCAAAGATCTACCTGCCTCTGCCTCCTGAGCACAGTGTAACGTCTTTAGGACTAGGGTTAACACCAGCATCCCTCTTCCAATAGCATTAAAGATAAAAGATACTTTCTGGATGTGGTGGTTCACACCTGTTTTCCTAGCACCTAGGAACTGAGGCAGGAGGGCTGTCAGAAGACCAAGGCCAGCCTGGGTTCTCCTATGGGAGTCTGTCTCAAAAAGCTGAAACCAAAATAAAACAAAACAAAAAGGCAGCTACCTCCTAGGAACACACTGTGTTCGGATGCCTTTCTCAGGGCTTCTTCACGCGTATTAGCTCCAACCAAATTATAGGCAAATATACCAACCAAGGGTAGTACATCTGCTACTGTTACTTTATGCAAGAGGCAATGGGATGGCACAATCACACTGAGCTCTGTTGCCCGAAGAGGCACCTCCTTTCCATACTAAATCCTCCATTCAAGAATCAACTAATAATCCCCAAGTGTTTGCTCTGTGCTGGGTGTGCTCAGAAGCTCCACCTCTCTGAATACCCACCCACACCCAGATCTCCTCCTTCTGTCCCTGCCTCTCTCCTACCAACTTTGCAAAGAATTCACCTCACCCATATTCCCCACCCCATAAAGTCACCAGGGCTCCACCCACACCACCCTCTGGTAACCTCCCCCCCCCCCCGCACCACGCCCAC